ACACACACGTACACTCGCACATGCATACACACACGTACACTCGCACATGCACACACGTACACTCGCACATGCACACAGACGTACACTGGCACATACACACATGTACACTCGCACATGCATACACACGTACACTCGCACATGCATACACACGTACACTTGCACATGCACACACGTACACTCGCACATGCACACATACACTCGCACATGCACACACGTACACTCGCACATGCACACACGTACACTCGCACATACACACACACACATACACTCGCGCATGCACACACATGTACACTCGCGCATGCACACACACACTCACTCCTGAAGCACCTTACCTTTCTCTGTTTTTCCATTTCATGTATCACTTTTTAACATACCCAGTAATGTGCCCTAATTGTCTGCCTCCCCTACTAGAATGTAAGCTCCGTGAAGACACGATTTCTGATGTTTTGATCACTAATACATCCTAAGCACAGAGCCTGGCACATAGTAGGCCCTTTATAAAATATTGATGAGCTGAATGAATGCGTACAGACTACCTGGGGGTATTGCTGGCCTCACAGGAGGCAAGAGAGATCTCTTTGACTTGCAGACATGGAATGGCCGGAGCTGAGGCCAGAGGACCCTAGCAGATGGGTGGTAGGGTGCTGACCCATGATGCTGCAGTGAGAGGGAAACACGACAGTAGGAAGTCTGTGGGTGGGTGCGGAAGGGGGGTTGCAACAGTGAAGAGGATTCTGAATTAACGCAGGACTGTATTTAACAGACTTTTCACAGACTGAGTTGCGCATTCTTGCACACTTATCTGGGGATCCGGAACTTTTGAAGTTGTTCCAGGAATCTGAGAGAGATGATGTCTTTTTGACCCTGACTTCACAGTGGTAAGATATATGAGCTCATAATATTATCAGATCTGCAAGAATGCTGACATGCTTTTAAAAGCCTGAAGTTGTTCCAAGGCTATTTTCATAAGAAAGAAATTACATTTTTCTGTAGTAGTTAATCATTTTGAAAAGAAGAGTAGATAACTAGGGCGCCAAGAATTTTATAGTTAGGAAAGAACGGATAGTTTTTACTGCTAAAAAAAGAAGTCAGTCACTGGAGAGTGTCACAGAAATATTAGAAAAATAAAAAGTGCAAGTCATATGTCCCCTGCATATCAGTGCTGACACAAAGTAAACATAGCCCATGGTTCTAGAAGTGTGAGCTTCCTGCCTCACAGAAGCAAGTGAATGTTAACATTGCTATCTGCCCGCACACCAGATCGATGGCAGCTTACACTAGTGACTGGAACGATAAATGAATACGAGGCTGGTGGCCTTGGGCTTCTGTGAGCAGCTCAACAACGTCCTAAAGGCCTGTCATTACCCTTGGGATGTTGGCATGTCTTCCTCCTGGTTGTGAAACACTGGTGCCTGGGTGGCTCAAGCAGTTTGCAATCAGCTGCTAATGTAAAGGTTGGCAGTGCAAACTCACGCAGCTGTGCCACAGAAGAAAGGCCTGGTGAACTGCTTCCATAAAAATTACAGCCAAGAAAACCCTATGGAGCAGTTCTACTCTGTAACGTGGGGTTGCCATGAGTCGGAATCTACTTGACGGCGATGAGTTTGGCTTTGGTTTGGTTGTGAAACGCCCGACGCCCGTTTCCAAAGGAGGATGAAGAGAGGAGTACAGGGCTTTCCTCACACACGTTCCCTGTTGTCAGGAAAGTACAAGGTGTCGAGAGGTTGCTACATACGTTTACACTTCATTTCCTAGAGCTGGGTCATGTGGCCACTCCTAGCTGCAAAGGAAGCTGGTAAGGTTACTCTCCAGAGAAAAGAGGGATAGTATGATAGTAATTGGCTTGGACAGTCACAGCTTTTCACCTGGGGCCAGGTACGCAACTGCCCAGAACAAAACCGGGAATCTACTAGCAAGGAAGCAGAGGGGATGGTGGGGTGGCTGTTGGGGAGGCCGCTGTAGCTGCCGTCTCCGTGCCCTCATCTGCAGGGACCGCATTCTGTCTCCTCAGGCCTCTCCACTCGTAGCTCCCTCCGCAGGGACTCTTTACCCCTCCCATCCCGCCTTCGCTGATTAACTCCTGTGCGTCCTTCAGGTGTCTCCATAGATACCTTGTTCCCACCAAGGCTTTCCCCACCCCCATGCCAGGGTCCGTCCCACTCCACACTGGCATCATCACTGCTGTCCTCACTGGCTTCAATGCTCGGCTCTTCTGAAGGGTGTAAGCTCTGTGAGGGCCAGGCTGTGTCCCCTCGTCCAGCAGGGGGTGCCAGCTCCTCTCCAACGCGTCACCTCCCACTCTCTGTACCTGGCCACCCTGGCCATTCCCAAACACACCAATGACTCACCTAACTTGCGAAGGGGAAGCCCTTTCCCTGCGTATCTGGACATCTCCCTTAATTTATCCAGGTCTGCCTGATGTCACCGCCTCAGGGACCTTTCTCTCCTTCCACTCCCTGCGTGTGGCATGTTCCTCTCTGTGTGTTTCTTTGCTGTCTGTCCCCACTGGAATGTCAGCTCCATGAGTGCCGAGACCACATCGGCCCCGTTCACAGCTGGGCTCCGAAAGCATGGGGACTCTACATGTATCTGACATACGAATGAATAGCACAGAATTCGAACCTGCCTTCTGACTGGAAAACCTCCCCTCAAAAAAGACCACCATGACAAAAACTCTCATCTGAATAAAACTTCAGGGAGAAATATTTCATTTTCATACAATGAGAACATTGCTTGATTCTGAAGAGGAGTTGTGGAAATTACGTTATGATGGTGGCTGCCAGGAAAGCTCTGAAAGTAGAGGAATGAGGTTTCTGCAAAGCAGGAGAGGAGCGTCCCGCGTAAATAAGACACTCGGCGCAGCAGAACAGTGTCCACGGTCAGACCAGCTCATGAACCTGAACCTGGAGTCTCTCCTCTCTGTTTACCCCCACTCCCACCCTGTCCTCTGCCCTCCTTCTTGGAATCTCACTGTCTGCGGGGCCTGACAATGGCCTCGCTGCCCCACCCCTAATCCACGCTAAGCCACCTCAGCGCCCAGCCCCCTGCCCTCTGACTGCTCATACCTGGACCCTGACCCAGGCTGGGCCCTGGCCTCCCCACCTCAGAGTCCCTCCTGGCAAATCCGCACTTTGTCCTCCGTGGACTTCTGTCATCCTGCAGCCCGCCAGCACTCTCTCCGGCCTGCCTATGCCCTCACAGCCCCTCTGGTAGTGCCGTCCCTGAGCCTACTGTGTGGTGATGGTCACCCAGTCTCTCTCCTCTGCTAAGCCGGGAGTCCATGGGAGCCCCACTATACCTTCTTGGTCCTTGGCATTCTCAGAGCGTAGCCCAGCGCCTGCACATCCCAGGCGCTCACCGATTTCTGATTTGTCTGATGAGCTAGTCTCATCCACCTCCCCTCAGGACTGTGGGCTCCTCTGACCCTCTCCCTCTCTGGTTGCTGTCTCTGGTCCTGAGTGACCCCCATTGTCTGCTTACTGATCTGCCACTCCCAGGGTGCTGGAGAAAGTCATAAAACAGAGGTGGGTGAGGCCACTAAACTCAGGTCGTCTGAGCGAGACCCTTAACCGTCTCTTCATCGTGTCTTAGCCATTCGAAGCCTTCTTGACTGTCCACAAATGCCTTCCCTTCTCTCTTCATCTTGGAAAATGACCTCCCCTCTTACTGAATGACAAGGCAGAGGGCCTCCGACATGAGCTCCTGAACTCCTTTCCCTCTGCCTCCACCTATCTTTTTATGATGGCCTCTCGCTCTGCAAAGGCTCCTGTCTGAAAAGAAGCAGCATCCTCCATTGCCAAGGTCAGGACTGCACGTTGGGCCCCTCTGGGGGCTGTCTCGCATGCACCTTTCAGACCGGTGCAGTGCACAACCAGCACAATCCTACAGAGCAGCCCTCATCCACGGCCCCTTTATTTTCCATTTTCACTCTAACATTCCTAGTACCCCCTCGTTGGCGTGCTCCTTCCCCTATACTAAAAACACTGCCTGAGGTTGCTCTTAACCCTAAAAAGAAATCCTGCCCTCAACCTTGTTGACTCCCTCATTCTTTTTCAAACAGGTTTTATTTTACCTACTCATGCTTTTCTTCTTTCAATCTGGAGCCTGGAATTCCTCACATCTAAGGAGATTGCCTTTCTTCAGGGAGCAGTTGGCCTTGAGGTCCAAGGCTAGTAAGACGAGGCTCAAACCCTGTGCCCCACCTCATGTGGGCAGATGAGCTAAAAGGCTCTGTGGGCACAGGCTGATGCGCAGCATACCTGAACCCCAGGCACCCTCAGTGCCGCCACATCCAGTGCTTAGCCCTGGCCTCCACATCCACTGCCCGTGTGGAAACACTCTTCTCCTTGGTTCTGTTCCTGCAGCCCTCGCCATTTATTCTTTTTTTTTTATTGACATAAAATTCACACACAATAAAATTCACCCTTTTAAAGTTTATCATTTGGTGCTTTTTAGTATATTCAGAATTTTGCATCCATCGTCACTATCTAATTTTAGACCATTTTTATTCCCCAAAAGAAACCCCGCACCCATTAGGAGCCGCCTTCCTGTCCCCAGCCCCAGCAACCACTGGTCTATTTTCTGCCTCTGTAAATTTGCTATGCTAGATGGTTCATATCAAGGGGATCATATAATACGTGGCCTTTTGTGTTTGGCTTCTTTCCCTTAGTCTACTGAACACTGTATACTGTTTCCCACATTCATCCATGTTGTAGCATATATCAGGAATTCATTTCTTTTTATGGCCAAGTAATATTTTATTTTATGAATATACTATATTTTGTTTATCCATTCGTCAGTTGATGGACATTTGGGTTGTTTTCTCTTTTGAGGTATTATGAATAATGCTGCTAATATTTGTGTACAAGTTTGTGTGTGAACACATGTTTTCAATTCTCTTGGGTATACACAACTAGGAGTGGAATTGCTGGGTCATATAGTAACTCTACATTTAATGTTTTGGTTTTCATTATTATTATTATTGTGGTAAAATACACATAACAAAAGTTGCCATTTTAACAATTTTAAAGTGTCCAATTCAGTGACAACTATGTTTAACACTTTGAGGAACTGCTAAACTGCTTTTTAAAATGGTTGCACCGTTTTACATTCCCACCAACAATGGATGAGGGTTCCATTTTCTCCACAACTTCGATAACACTTGTTATTGTCTAGTTTTTTTATCATAGCCATCCTAGTGGGCATGAAGTGTCATCTCATTGTGGTTCTGATTTGCATTTCCCTAATGACTATTAATGTTGAGCACCTTTTCCTGTGCTCTCCATTTTTCTCTGTATCGATGTCCCTTTTCCCTCTAAGTCTTGAACACAAGTGCACCCTGAGGGGTTTTGGTTGTCCCAACTTCCTCCTGTGTGTACTTCCTCCCAAAAGATGTCTCTTCTTCTCAGTTTCACTTTCCCTCCAGTTAGGATATAAAATAATGTAGAATTTTTTAAAGCATATAATAGATTAAATAACACTCCTGCGCTCTCCAGAAGGACGAAAGTCTTAAGAAAGGGTTATTGGTTTAGGCAGGATAACTATTTTGCTTAATCGGTTAACTCTTAAAATTTGTTGCCATCTTAATGCTTTGATGGAATAGTACCCTGGATATTCTCCTTTAGTGTGTAAGATAATCTATCTGTGATACAAGGTGAATGTTAATCTCCAAGCATGTTTTTTTGTTCAGTGGGTCCAAAGATACTCTGGCTGCGCTAACCAAGTATGACAAGAAAACATTTTGACATTTTGTTATGTTGAAAGGAGGGTGCAGCTAAAGCAGTTCCAAGATGGAAGTGTATAGCACAAAATACTTGCATTAAAATGATAAAAGATCTAAAATCAATAATCTAAGCTTTTTATTTCAAGAAACTAGAAA